GAGCACCAAAGTCCAAGCCCATTACTTAGAGTTCTCCAATGTGGGTAAGCAAATGAGATATTCTCCAAGCATTTCCTTTTATCCATAGGAAATAGTCATTTTCCAAATACCTAGCTTTACCTATTGGAAACAAGCCTTTTCCAGCACTTCCTATTACCCGTTGCAAACAAGCCTTTTCCAGCACTCCCTATTACCCGCTGGAAATAGGCCATTTCCAGCGCTTCTTTTTACCCATAGGAAATAATCAGTTTATGGTACCTAGCTTCGCATGCTGGAAAATAGCATGCCCCAGCGCTCCCTTTTACCCATTGGAAATAGGCTGGTTCTAGCACCTCTCTTTGCCTATTGGAAACCAAAGAGAGCCTTCCCCCTCTATAAATTGGGAGGCATTTGCCCAGCCAAAACCAACCTCTCTTGGTTGTTGCAAGCTTCTCAACAACCATGAGAACTCATCTTCTTTTCTCTTTTTGGCTGCTGCAAGCATTCCAGCTGCCATCCCAGCCATCAACCTCCATCTTTTGACTGCTGCAAGCATCCCAGCAGCTGTCAACCACCATCTCTTGGTTGCTCAAGCCCCCAGCAACCATCGAACCACTTTCCTTTCTCCCTTTGGTTGCTGTAAGCATTCCAACAGTCATCCCAGCTATTCCTCAACCATCACAACCAAGATTTTCCTTCCTCCTCATACCCTTCCAAGCTATAGATACCATAGCCTTCAAGCCTCAAGCTTTTCCTCCCATCCTCCTCTTGAAACTCTTAAATCCCTATAGCCATAGCCATAGCCATAGCCATAGCCATAGCCACAAATAACAAATCATCAACACCCCAAACTCAAGCATATCCAACACCAAGCCAAGCACATGCATTCTCATTTGCTAAACTTGTGAATCTTTATGCCAAGCTAATATAATCTCATATCTACATCAGCAAGTCATCTTCAACTTTTCGTCAAGCTGCCGGAAACGTCAACATCAAACACACAGCCGCTGGAAGAAGAACAGAGTACCCCCTAGGACATGCTTTTCCCTCGGGATGCTTTGGGCCTAGTCCTCGTTGTCTGCCGCGCAGATCTCACGGCCTGGAGTTCCGGGCCGAGGGGATATGCGTTGACATGCGGCTTCCTGCTTTTGGGTGCGGTGCGGTTGTGCGCGGGCGTGCCAGCACGGTCTACCGTGCATCGGGATGTTGATGAGTGTAGGATGGATAAGTGGTGCGCCTGTTTGAACTCGTCTTCTAATCAAACGATTGTAGCCGAGAGAGGAGGTGCCCGAATACCTATTTAAGCCATTAAAATATTTAATTAATAAAAATTGCCCAACATAATTATTTAATCCAAAACCCTGTTAGAATGGTCTGAAAAGACCCAAGACTCGATAAGCGATAAATTCCTCGAGATAGTCAACCCGGGACCCCGGGGGTCCACGACCTATAATTACCAATCCAAGAGTTCCTATAAGTTCAACATATTTTAATAACTATGCCCTGCAAGTTTGGTCCAAATCAAACGGTCGGATTGCTCACGATCGTACGATCGGACGGTTATCCATTATTTAAACCTTAAATTATTGATTCGGAACATCCGGAGCTCCGATTTACGATTCGCGAAATCCTACACGATCCTAGGAGTGCCAAGATTAACATATATTAAATTGGAGACGATCCAACGGTTCGACTTTCTTTGATTGTTTTGGTCAAAATCATCCTTCCACGAGGTATTCCTCATTCGTGCTATGACTCTATCAATTACTAGAATACATTTAAACAATTTAACGTCTTTCCTCAAGTAATCTTTCACAAACTTATTCATACACTCCACGCATTGAGTAGTGCACATACCACCGAAAAACTTAGGCCTAAGGTGTGATTTCGCCAACGCATCTCGTTTTGTATACATCATTTGCAGCCATTCCTTTTGTTTATGTGTAGTAACTCTGTCCTTCAAAAACTTCCATTTCTTTTCAAACTCATTAACTGTAATTGGTTCCCAAAGATATGCTTGAAATAATCTTACCAATTCTTTATCCTTTAAGTTATTCTGTGCATTCCTTGCCACGTGCCATGAGCACAACCTATGATTGTACATAGGCAACACATACTCAATTGTTTTGTGCACATCGCCTCATCCCCATCCGTTAGTATTGATGTAGGCTTCTTGCCTTTCATGGAGGATATAAATGTCTCCAATAACTACTTTTATGTTTCAAAGGTCTCGTTAAGCTATATGGCACAACCAACACTCGCCTGGAGGTTGTTTGAACCAACAAATAACACTAGAGGCTTGTCATACATATTGGTTTTGTATGTGCTGTCGAATAGGAGGACGTCTCCAGAGGCAACATAATCCAAAAGTGAAGTAGAGTCTCTCCAAATCAAGTTAGCAATCCTATTCTCCTTATCTACATTGAACTTACAAAAAAAATTCAAGATCCACTGACAGTTTCGCTTTCATGTAGGCGAGTGTAGCTTCAGTGTCACTGCCTAACAATATTTCCCTACGTAATGCATCCAACTTAAGGATCCAAGTCCTCCGCTCATGCATTGATGAACGCTTAAATCCTACACTATATGTGGCAATCCCTTTCACCATAGGTAGCCAAAATGGATCATTTACAATATTAAATGGGAGTGCTCTAGAGAAGAAAAAATGAAAAATCCTTCGACAAACTTCCTTTCTTTCTTCTTGTTTGTATACTGAATTTAATGTACTTTGCTGAGCTTCTAAAGTGACAAATCTATCCATTGGTCCTTTTGATTCAGGTTGTGCTCTAAGAGCCTCATCAATTGCAACACTCATAGTACCAGGGATTCCATATTCTTCATCCAATGAAGTTTTTATACTTTGAGCCCCTCCTCATGGACCATCCCCAATCTCTCTAAGCATTTCTTTTTTCTTTCTTTTTTCAAGCTGAAAAGTTTTCAAAGTTGCGGCATACTCTTTTTTCATATGCTCAGGAACTTTCTTACATGGTTGCATACCATGATGAGTGTGACCCAAATGATGCTTAATTCTAGAAATTCCTCCACTGCATATTTGATCACAAAATGTGCATCTCAAGTATTTTTTCCCCCCTCTATCTCTTTTGCATACTACCACGCAGGATCTTTCGATTCATAGCTATAAAATAACACCATTAATATTTCTAAGATACAAGTACATGTACGTCAAATTTCTAAGATAACTAATGTATTGAAAGAAAAAAAATTGAAAAAAAATTATACGGAACTTCAAATTACAGTTGTGAAGAATTATAGAGAAAAATAAAATGGCTTACTTGCAGTCGAAAGATGAAGAGAATTCTTGAAATTGATGGAGATTATCCTGGTAAAGGTAAAAATAAGGGTTGTACTATATAATATATTTTTAATCCATGTGTTAATATATTAATTTAGAAAAAAATAAATAAATAAAAACAAAAAAAGGTAAGTAGAACAAAGCTACAGCCAGCGGGCTGGAGTTTATTAAAATAAAGGTAAGAAAAAAAAAAACAGAAACTCGCTTTTTTTTTCTCAAAACACTCCAAGTGAAACGCCGTCGTTTCATTAATTTTTTTTTTTTAAAACACTTTAATCGAAACGACGTCGTTTCAATACAACAAACCTACGAAAAAAATCACGCGAGTCGTCTTCCTCGCAGAGTCGCAGCCAATTTGCAGACTCGCAAAATTTCTTCCGGTTCAGAAGTGTCCAGATCTGGCGCGCCTTGCAACGCCTCCTCACGCCTTCCCCGGGCTAAACGTGCAACTCGCGAAACAGCCGACCGCCTCGCTCCGACGCGCTCGCCGACGCACGCGAAGGCATGCCTTTGAAAACACTGCTTGTGATATCAAAGCCGTCGTCATCAGCATCCTACAGCTACAAATTAGTGCCCTGGTTGAGCTGGGATGAGTGGCTTTTCGTAGACGAATCTCTCTTTTCGAATTCACCTGATTCTGTGGCCTCCGCTTTAAGAAGAGTAAGAGAACCGCAACTTTATCTGCTTTTTTTTCTTAGCCCGGAAGCAAATATTTTATTTTAGCATTATATCAGAAATTCCATGTGGATGCCTTGCTGTTCTGTTTATTTCTCTTTCTCGAAAAAAAAAAAAAAAACTCTCTGGCTGGCTCGCTATGAAATTCTTAGCATGTTGTTGAATATGATTGAATCTTTTTTATTTGCTCCTATAATTTTGTAAACAGTGGAGGAAGTTATTTTTTAAGTGGGTTCTGCTTTAAATTGAATTTTCTGGTGGTTTCTGGAAACGGTATTTATGTCTTTCATCTCTGACTTGTTGTTTAAAGATATCAGCATGGAGAAGCAGAGGTTGTCTTCCTGTTGTAATTGAAGTTACGGCATCGCTTATTGATATTCAGCAAAAAGATCCTCACTTTAGGTACCTTTTACTTCCAAATTCTCTAAGCATTTTTGGATCAACTTCTTATATCTTTCTCTTTTTCATCCCCGGTGAGGGGCAGGGGCAGGGGGGTACTTAATGCCAAATGTTATTTGCTTTGTGGTTTCTGCTTGTAATTTTATCTCATTTATCGCTTTAAATTCCAACCGAAAATAATGTATTTGTCCTACTTTGGTAACAACTTCATGTATGTGTTTTGTGAATTATAGAAAGCACCAGTCAAATGATGCTTTGGATAATTGCAGAGCAGATCAATCAAGTGATGCTTCACTTTCAGACGAAATGCTGGCCATGTTATATTGTATGGCAATCATGAGGTGTGGTTCCTTCAATGTTTTGGTTCTTAAATCTCTCCATTCTTTTATCTAGTCCTTATCATATGGTGATATATGGATGAATGTGGTTAGTAGTACTACCATTGTAACCACAGTGCAATAATTTGTAGAAAAAGGTATTAGGGCTGCACGATAGATGTATTAGGGATGGACGATAGATGCATATGTTCTTATTATTGGTCATTTGGAAGAAAATCCTTGAGCATCCAAAATTCTTGTCAGGAATTTTTCTTGATATATGCATTCAGTGCTTATCTTCAATATAAGATTTCCTTCAAAATAGGTTCTTGTAACGTGCAGGATTTTTGTTATAAGTTCTATATCCTGTAACATTCCTGATATTTGTAATATATCAAGATAGTTTATTTGTGGATTGCCTCCTTTCAGGGTACACCCTTTAGGGTACCCAACAATTTTTTTTTTCGATGATCCAAACCGTCTATTTTTCAAGTCTTCATTCATAGATCATCCTTGCAAAAAATCAGACAAATTGAAAATCATTAAGGCATCTAATTGAGATGAACAAAATCAATGAACACAGTGCTTCAAGAAAGTACTTAAATTTCAATAATTTAATTGAATGGTCAAATGATATCGAATTCAAGTGATTCTTTGTAGAGATGATCTTTGAATGAAGATCTACAAAATAGACGGTTTGGATTAGTGAAATACAATGCGAAGTGGGCCCTACAAGGATGTCCCTCAAATAAGCTTACTTGAGGGATCCCTCAATGGAAGCTCTCTCTCTCTCTCTCTCTCTCTCTCTCTCTCTCTCTGTGTATATATATATATTTCACTCAATATTGCAGGGGTTAATGCTTAACTCACATTTGTTTTCACAATTGCTATCTTTTTCTAAAGGCTTGTGAATGGTGTTGTTGAGAAGACACGGAAGAAAACAGAGGTGTCAATTGCTGTGGCTGCTGATGCAATTGGCATTCCACGTACACTGATTGATATTCGTCATGGTGAGCAACTCCTACTTTTAATTTGCACATTTATCATTAGTTTGTTGATTAAGATTTTCGTAGTCTAGACTACTAGCCATGCCCATTCGACCAGAGCATACTCTTTGAAGTAATCTTTTGAACACTAATGATACCCTGGATTGATCTTTGATTTCTTTTCTCTTTTTTTCACTTGGTTATTGCTTTGATTTTTAGAGGGATCTCACCGTGAACTTCCCGCACTGGAGGTTGTTCGTAGTGCTTCAGTTAAGGTATGCAGCATGCTTGGTAATTCAAATTTTGTTCCTTCAGATTCTTCTAATGCTTTCTCTTTACGATTAGATTTTATGTCAAACACATCTAGTTTATTTTAATAAGCTTCCTACCAAAATTTCATTTGTGTTTGGATTAACTGCTTGTGGGTGCTGCACAGAATGGTTGTTTTGTTGAAAAGATTTCTGAGTTCTATTAAAAATTGTTACAACTGGCTTTGTTTTTCCATTCGACTGCAAGAAACAGTTTACAGAAGATATCATGTATTCACTTTTTTAACTTGTGGAAAATTCTAAACTATATGAGTCCCTAGTTTTATGAATGTAATAATAGGGTATTATTGTGAACAATTTATCATTTTTTGGAAAGGCACATGATGCCTCCACCACAATAACTAACCTGCAGTACATCTTCTTTTCTATCTTTCACCTACACACAAACACAGTGACTCGGACCCCAACCCCCCCCCCCCCCCAAAAAAAAAAAAAAAAAAAAACCTTTCCAAAAAACGAAGATATTCCTGACTTCATGAATCTCACCAAATATTACCAAGTTGTTTTTTAGGAGAAAAGTGGTCCTCTACACTTATCTTAATCCTTTATGGTTTGGAACATGGATAACTACTATGAAACTTGTCAGTGTATGAAATTTTTAGATTGAACATGGCTCCACAACTGAAAGTTCATTTATTTCTCTCTATTATTGTGCTGCACAAACATGCATTTACCAATTATATTTGGAAACAAAGAATCAATTTAAATTTGGGACGTTAAGCTATATCCATGGTTCGTGTTTTTAGGCCCTTGATTGGTTGAAGTACTACTACTGGGAGCCTCAGAAGAAGGCAATTCCATTTCATGGTAATGAAACTGCTGACATCAGAACTGAGATAAGGTCGAAATTCCATGAATTGGCTTTCTGCTTAAGAGTTAAGAACACTCCTCTGTCGCTATCTTCAAAAGTCAAGGAAAAACGTGGTATGAAAAACTTATTTCTTCGAATTATGTTGATTATAGTGCCTAAAATCTTTGATCTATAGGATGTAATATTTTCCAATGATTTTACATAGAGTGCAATACGCCCTTGCACCTATGACATATAGAACCTTTCATGTTAATCTCAGCCAGATTTTTTAGGGATTATACTGTGTCATGTGTCATAATCCAACAATGAAATATATGCTTGTTGGAAACTTCTCAACATTTTATGTCTAGGGGATATTTCCTTTGTATCTGGCATGAGAACTTTGACACTCTTTTCTTTTGTCAAGGAGTAATCTAGGACTGTTTATTTGGAGTTATTTTCTGCAGATGGAAAAGCACAGTATATGAATGCCCTTAGAATTAGGAAGCTGTAATTTTCTAAATTCTTAAATTTATGTTTAGAGTATGTCTTTTTTCGCTACCTTATGGAGAATATTCTTTTTTTTTTTTTTTAATGAAATGGAAATAGAAATTATCTTGGTATGTATTTCGGTCAGCAAACAATCTCGCAATCACATGGGAGTCAAAATTATGTTGTGTTATAAGAAAAAGGCATTTACACAGCTAAGCTTTGGTACAGAACTAATTGTCTACATGTATCATGCACACAATGTATACTTCAGACATATGGATATATTTCATATGTCAGGTTTTAGATTTGGTTACATATTTTATTTGAGTAATGCTGCACCTACATTTTTTATTTTTTTATTTTTTATTTCTATATATGAAAGCAACCACATGTCTGGCCACTGGATTAGCATTTACTGGGCACTTGCTACAGTGCAATGATGAAAATATCGGCCGATATCCCTATATATTGGCCAATATATCCCTTTTTTTAGGTGTCGATACAGATACAAGGGGGTAAGCCTATTTCTTCCTCCTTATCGGCGATATATCCCCATTAACCCCCGATATCCTCGATATTTACCGATATTTCCCGATACCAGACAAATTACCCAGAAATTTGTCTTCAGTTTTGAAAGTAATCATAGATCCCAGCCACTGAATCATTGTTAAACACCAAGCTCTAATACTTAGTAGCTTTTCCTTTCTACTCTTCTCAGTCATTGCGGCTATCTTTGGCTCATTCTCTCCTCTCTCTGGTTGCTCGATTTCTTGTGTGTTTGATTTTATTTTTCACCTAATCTTCTATCTCTCATTTCCTTTATCATTAAGTCGTACTCTTGTAATATAATGTTGGGTTATGTATATGGGTTGGGTTGGGTTATGTTTGAATAATGTTGTCTTTGTTGTGCTAAGTCTAATTGTATTTATTTTCAAGATTTTCATCGTGCATTATATACACGTACATTTCATCATATGCACTTGGTATATTTTGAATTTTATTTGTTCAATACATTCATTGATAATGTGCTTAATATCTATGAAAGTTTCACTTCAAAATTCCATGTTTTTAAGCCAATATGTCTTTTTTGTCAATTTTCGCCAATACCTAAAACGACATCGATATATCCCGGGAAATATCTGTAAATTGAAGGCCCGATAATATCTGTATCGCCAATATTTTCATCCTTGCTCCAGTGGGCATAAGTGATGTGCCTGGCAAGCCATGTAGGCTGTCGTGTCATGGAGAAATTCTGTAAAAGTAGGAGTTTTGTTTTAGTTGTTTAGTTTACAATGAACATTTATTATTGCATAATGCTTTTGATTGTTTCAAATTTCAATCTGTATATAGGTGGCAGAAGTAGTAAATGGCTTTGTGGGTGTAATAAGTTTTTCTCACTAATGGAGATACATTCATCAAAACCTAGACGTAAGATTTATCCCTAATTTTAGTAATTTAGTGGACTTAGGAGGTGGTAATCTGTTTTTGTTGTACACTAACATTTTGTTGGTTAGAGAGAGAGAGAGAGAGAGAGATTTCTTTATATTAAACGAAATCTGGCTGTAGTTCGGAAGTAATAAGGAAAGTTTGGTCAAATCATTGGATAAACAGCAAATCAGGTCTTGTACTAGTTGTTGGATTAGCTGAAAAGCATAAATCCTAACTCCACATACCCATAGATGCGTAAACCTGGTTGTCATTATATGTTAAAGTAGTCACAAATGCAACTATTGAGTTATAAACAATGTAAGTTTGGTTTGGGTTTTCCCATTTGTAATCTCAACAATGTAACCCCAAAACCGAACCGTCCCAGAACTCAACTTTACCAGAGATTTTCTGCCCCTAACCTGTTCAAAAACATTTCCAAACCCGACATTCAAGGGTGGAGTAGGTTTGGTCCTGCCAAAATCTGCTGTTGGCCATAGAAAAATAGTGTTTCTTATTATTTATTTATTTTTTAAATACTTCAAATATGGACATGTAGTCTATCCTAAAATTGAATCATGTATCTAGTTCTATTCCCCTCTTTCTTTTTCAAGTTGTGGATGACGTATGCCATATTTAAAACTCAGTTTCATGTTCCCTCTTGGCTATCTTTTCTGTAATTATCACATTAATGAGCTAAGAATTGGGCTCCTTTCCTTTGACTTCTGAATGTAGAGGACCTAGTCTTTCACTGTTACTGCCAATCATAATTAGAATGTTTGAAAGCATGTATTAAACCAATCATAATTAGAATGTTTGAAAGCATGCATTAAAGAAAGTCACTTATCTTAAAGTATGCTCAGAGCCGTCTAAATCATGATTGGATGTCCAGTACTAAAGAACAGCAGTCAACATTTGAAAGAAAAATGGGGACGAGCTCAATCTGTGCTCTAATGTTTGAAGGATATGTCTTTTAATAATTGCATGTCATATTGGTATGATGGTATCAGTTTCAGAGAAAGTCGCTTTTTTTGGTAGTATATATTGACAGACATCTTAAGCATGATTGGATGTCCATTTGAAAGCAAATAGAGAGGATCTCAATCTGCCTGCTAACTTTTGAAGGATGTCTTTAAATACTTGGATGTTTTATATGTTGATTGAGGTACTTTCTTTTCAGGTTCTAAGAAAGACCTTACCAAGATATTGAAAAGTCTTGTAGGGTTGTATGCTTCCTTCTCCTCAGAAGTTGTTTCTGTACTGTTGGAGATCTTGTTGAATGCTATAAATATCTCAGATTCCTCGAAGCTTCCAGTAAACACCCAAAATGGTCCGAGCCTACATATTTCATTGAATGAGTGGAAGCTTGTGATAACAAAATTTTCAAATAAGGAACCAGAGTTACTTCTGGCTCTCCTGAATGCAGCTCTTGATATGATCGAGACTCAAGAAGCAGTGCTATTTGAGACAGGTAATCACATGACCTGATTTTTCTATGAATTAGTTGCTCCGTATTTAGATATATACTGGTAAACTTATGGCGAGTCTGTGCATGAAATCTAATTATATTTACTTGGTTTCAACTGGACTGATTTTTAATACTGGACATGGGTCAGTGATCATAGTTGCTGCTTTTGTGAATTTGTTTAGGAGGGGTTTGCACATCATCAGACCATAGGGCAGAGATACTCCAAGTTGAACACCTCTCTTCTCTGTTTAAGTGGCTGGTTGGGAATTTTGAAGGATTAAAGCCTCATCTTGAAAAAGATTCTGCACCTGAGATCAAAGTTTCTGTAGGAGAAAAAACGATATCGAAAGCTATTCTGATGGAACTCCTACGTAAATGCCTTGTTCTATCAGCTTCTGCTAATAACCAGCTCATGGATTCTGCCGTCCATCTTGGACAACTGACAGGGGACAACTACCTATTGGGAAAACTGAACAAACTCTCTTCATTAGTTTCATCAAATTTGGATGTTACTGAAGAATATGATTCTCTTAAACATTCAACTAATGTATTTAAGAACGAAGACGAATCTATAAGTGAAGCAGCAAAGAAGCTAGAGATGATTAAACAGCGCAAAATGAAGAGCAAAGTAGTGAAGAGAACAGATGGTGATGCCAGAAATACTAACAGATGGGTTCTGCCAAAATCATGGAACCCGTGTCCAATTGGAATGTTGCCTCGAGCTGTTGGGTCTTCTGGTTGCCTTCCCGTTCTGGACTTTAATACTGTTCCAGAAAAGGTTTCTCAGTTACTAGGAAGAAAAGAGAACTGGGAATTGAACCAGTGTAGTGGCAAGAGAGAAGCTAGTTCCGATTTACAGCTACTAGATAACCGATGCGTTAAGAAGTTGAGGGAAACAGAGGATGGCTGTGTATCAGATATTGAGCGTGTTTTATCCACAGAAGATGTCAGTGGTCATCTCATGATAGGCGGGGTCTGGAAGAAAGTTGGGGAAGAAGAACTACTTGCCATAAAGTCTGCTGTAAGGATTTGGCCACACAAAAAAAAGCCTGCTGTAAGGATTGGGCCACACGAAAAAAAAGAGCCTGCTGTAAGGATATTAATTTAGTCACTGATTTATTCAAAGCTAGGGTAGGTCTAATTTTGGAAGCTTTTGTTAGCATCTATGCAGTTTTGATTTATAGTGGTGATAAATTAGCGACCGAAGCAGTTTTGATTTATATTTTGTAGTGCACTATGTGATTATCTGGGTTATAAAAGTTGTAGCCAGAGTAACATTAGCTGGCGGGTTCTTCTATTTTAGCACTCCACCAGAGATTTTTTTTATTTTTTTATAGACTCACCATGGTTTATTTTCACTAAGCCACTGGGTTCATTATGTTATTCAATTTTGTGTTCAATGATTTGATATCAGCCCGGACCATTTTTCAATCTTATTATTAATCGGGAAAAAACTTGGCTCCTTAAAATTGAGGAGCTCCTTTTTACAGTCAACATGGAAAAAACAAGAAGAA